TGTGTGTGTGTGTGTGTGTGTGTGTGTGTGTGTGTGTGTGTGTGTGTATGAAACGCAAGATTGAATTGGGGAGTTTCTAACTCCAAGGCTGGCTCCCTATCCACTATACCAGGTTGCTTTTCCTATCTTAGGTCTTTGTCCGTTTTAGAATGTCAGTTTTTACTAATTAAAAAAACAAACAAACTTGTGATATAGAAAGTTCAGATTCTAGAAACTCAATAAACATTAAGTGAATAAGTCCCAAGAATGAGTGATTAGCTTTCCTAAGGGTCACTAATTAGTGAATGTCCTGTTGGTTTTCCAGATAAAGCAAGTTTAGTATAGAGTATGTTTCAAAGACTGTAGACATAATTCATTGTGTTTTAATTGGTTAATGTCATCATCAGGCCTAAATTCTCTAGAAATGCTCTCATCATGTCTTATAGTCACAAATAAATGAAGAAAATTCTAATATAGAAAGCTATTTAAAAATCAATATTCCTCTTATTTATCTTCTAAGACTAATAACTACCCCAGTAGGGGGTATTTTATAAGGACTAATGAACTCGGCCTGGGGTATGAACTTTTAACAAATTGTTTCTAATTCCTACAAAATCCTCAGATGTTCTTAACATTATCCTGACTCCTTGGTGGACTAGTTTTGTTTCCTAGAGGTGTCAAAGTTTGGGAGGTGATACATTTAGTTAGAGTACAAGGCCATACCCAGGATTCAACAAAGCCTAGCCTGGGTTGGGCAAAGGCCAAAGAGATAATACAGTCAGTTTTCACAGTGGTGTGCAAACACGGTAGGAGAGTGCCCCCTAGCCGCACAAGAAAGTGTGAGTTTACTACAACTTGAGAAAAATTAGAGGCTGCCCACCTTTAACTGCTAACACCACCTTGTGTGGTTAGTTACCGCCTCCTATGTGAACTCTGACTCTGTGGTGTTTGATGTGCGAAGTGAGTCAGGACCCGGCACAGACTATGGGGGGGGGGGGGGGTTTGAAGCTCTTCCGTGAGTGGCTGTGTTTTTTAGTGGTTCACAGCATCTCGGGGAACTCGGGATGGAACCAGAGCCAATTTGCCTTCAAGAGCCAAAGGCCTTGACACCATCGCAAGGCTCATTGATTTTCTTTTTTAAGTCCAGAGTGAGATGGAAACTACTCTGAACTCTGTTTGTCAAGTCCTGTCTTCAGTTAAGGCTTCTTTGTTTTTACAGGACAGAATTAAAAGAAGAACGCAGCACATCATCAACGAGACATCATGGCCACTGCTCAGCTCTCTTTCTCCTTTGAAACCTGCAAGGCCAGCAAGGTATTTGTCCAAGATGGACGATGAAGATATGGTTTAGTTTAGAGTAACGACTCACCTCAGATTTGAAAGCTAGCTCTATTCTGGCTCCTTGTTTCCAGCAGGATAATGTAGACCCCATCCCTTGGTGCTTCAGGCCCTCCCTAGCTTTCCAGCCTCATCTCCCAATGCCCCTCTAATGGAGGTGGTTGCCCCAGTCTGCCCAACCCCAAAGTGCATTCCTCTGAGAGTCTTTAATCCCCCTGCCTGATAACGAGCCCTTCCCTCTGCTTTAGGCTTCTCTAAATTGCTGTCCCCCCCTGTAAGTGATCCACCCTTCTCCTGGAAGCCTTTACAATACAATAAGCATTTATTAAATGTCTACTGTGTGCCGGGCACTGCTAACCTGGGGATTTGTTGTTGTTCAGTTGTGTCTGACTCTTTGTGACCCTTTTGGGGTTTTCTTGGCAAAGATACCAGAATGGTTTACTATTTCCTTCTCCAGTTCATTTTACCGATGAGGAAACTGGGGCAAACAGGGTGAAGTGACTTGCCCAGGGTCACACAGTCAGTAAGTGGCTAAGGCTGAATTTGAATTCAGGAAGATGAGTCTTTCTGACTCCAGTCCAGGGGCTCTATCCCCTGTGCCACCTTCCAGCCCAAACCGGGGATACAAACAAGGAAAAGAAAGATGGTCCCTGCCCTCAGGAACCAAAATCAAGTGGGGAAGAATCATAATGGAGTTAAAAGCAAGCAGTGAGGTTGGTGTAAAATTTT